TTACATCACCAAGAAATGAACAGTAGTAGTTTGAAAGTCGATTGAAAATTTGGTTGTGAGTACATTTGGTGACCCACTGGCATAACTGAATGGTTTTAAGTTTTCAAAACACTCAAACACTACAGCATTATTTTGTAATGAATATCTCTAGTATCAGGGAAAAGAAATCTATGATTCCTGTTCTAGAGATTTGGTGACGTATAATTGCTGAAGTGTTATCTGAAAGTGGACTAGGAAAGAATAAAATTGAAACAATAATATTGGATGCCATGATTGGTTCCCATGAGGAGGTTAAACCATGTCTTGTGACAAATTTAAGAAACAAGTATCTTTTGGTTGAAAGTGTTTGAATACATTTATGTTGCACCGTTTTTAGCATTCAACTGAAGTTGACGTGTTTCTGTGCATTATATTTCCTTCCAATGAAGACTTAAATGCGCCTAGTTCCTTTTTGAAATAAAGGAAATCAAAGTAATCATAGTGTTGATTGAAATGTATGAGTGAATACATTTTCATTTCTATGTGTTCCGTTTTTTTTCTATTTAATGAGTTGTCCTGCACTTTGACGCTAAACAGCTACAACTTCTATCTACAGTAAAGCAATGCTATGGAATGCCTTTCATTCCCTGGATTCTGAGCAGTATAGTATCCTTCAAGTTTTTAATTCTACAGTTCCAGTAGCGGTGTTTTACAGGGTGTGGTTGAAAACCTGACCTCCAGCATTCCGTCTTTCCTAGACTTATTATCTGAATGGGAATGGAATGCAGGCTTCCTGTGTAGTTGCAGGGAAATATCGACACAATTTCATTTCCATAATATTCTTAAAAAACACTGACAAAATTTGTTTGTAGCTATAAGCTGGTACTATATAGTTTTGTATTTGATGAATGACGACGAACGCCAGTGAAATAATATGGAATGGTCCGAATACAAATGGAATCAAAGCTGATATATAATTAGCATTATATCCAGTAGACATAAAGCTGTTATCGTAAGTAATCCATCCATCCTATCATCCAATCGTCTTTGATGAAAACCAGAAATTCGAACATATTTTCGGGAAATATATGTAGCAGAAGCTTTAGTTCTTTTGTATGCGATGCAATGTTCTTTTGCATTTATTCTCTGAGTTTTGCTATCGACTAGAGGCACACTCTAGTTTAGATTTTGTATTTCTTCATGGGAACAAGTAATTACGTGAACATTTTTGTTTATATTATGGGTTTATTACAGGGATTTAGATGAATTCGAATACAGATTTCTTCATGAACCAACATCACACAGGGATCATTGGAAACTGGGGAGAATTGAACAGCTATTTCGTCCTCGTTCGATGTTTTTCAGCAGTCCACATCGAGATGGTGTACCGGCCAGCAACCAGACGATGTTCAGAGCACCTTGAGAAAGTTTTGCTGGCTAACAGCTGCAGTTTCTAACATCAGCAGTTATAGTGCTTCATGGTAGGTTAATGTCAACCCCCAATACGAGGCAAAGGTCAAAAAGAAGCTTCAAATACTCAAGTACTATATGGTACCCGGCTGTGAAGAGCATTATTCCCGGTTCGTTTTAAAGTTGGTAGTGTGACTCTAGTCAGAAAACTGACTGTATTGTTAAAGAAAATATGGGAAAGTGAACATTTTACATCAGTGTGGAATGAAGCTACCATCGTGCCTGTCTTTCGGAAGAGTGTACGTAAATCATGTGATTATCATAGTGACACTGGCCTCCTGTCAGATGTGTCTAAAATGTTGGCTGCTGTCTTGCCTCACAGGTTGTAAAAATGTGTGAAGACGATGTTTCGTGGAGATCAGAATGCGTTTCGGTCAAGTCGTAGATGTAGTGGTCGTGTGCTTACACTCCAGTTGTTAAAGCGCCATCGCATATACTACAGGTCACCAACTGTTGTGTTTCTTGGTACTAAGGCTGATTTTGATCCACTAGACAGAGTTGAACCTTTGGATTGTTTGTTAGAATTTTGTTAACATCCGGAAAACACAATAGAGGTAGACTGAAGGTATACAACCAACTATCACCGCTATTTCCAAACAACAGTTGGATTAGATAAGGTTGGTTAATTTCATCATATCTCCTTAACTTTATCATAGACTTATTTCCGGAGATAGCTCTAGAGGTTATGTGTGGTGATGATTTACATTTGCTGCTAGTAGGAAAACTTTTTGACCTCGGATCTCTAGATTGCATCGTTTCACTCTGTGATGACGTACAGCTGCCCATGTGTCACTTAATCAGTTGGCTTTCAGTGTCTATAAGGAAAGTGTGTTCTAATTATAAAGTATTGTTGAAAGATTGGCGGGAGTCTGTAGCTGCACTCATCCTCGTAGGTGAATCCCTTAACCTAGCCAATAAGTTCGTGTATCCAGGTAGTTGTGTGAATGCTGTGGGAGGTGAGATGAATGGGATCTTCAGTCGCAGAGTGAAAGCTGAAACAGCGTACACCAACCTGAGCTACTTCTGGCACTTTCGCAGCGTTAACAAGACCGTCTAAGGTCGGGTTTACAGTGCACATAGTCTCTCTGTAAACATACGAAACCTGGAATCCTCGACCAAGGATATATGGCGACTTTTTTGCTGGCTCTACAGAACTAACGGCATGTAGCGACGTCATCATGTCAATACACCTGTAGTCTGATAGATACATTGAGTTCGTACATGATGGAGATTGTCTTTCAATAGGTGGTGTCGTCTTGCAACATCTGTCTCTGAGGCCTAGACATATGCAACAAATGTTATCCCTGCGGATGTAATACCGTTCACTGTTTCCTATCTCTGAGACTTGTTTAAAGTCATTGGAGGTTCTCAGACCATTACATGGAGGCATAGGATGAAGAATGGTTATGCTAGGTTAGCATCTGTATGTGTACCACAACTGTTTGAGTTGAGTCGGAGGGATAATTCGAATCAATGGCTCAAGACTTTATCACATTTGTCGAAGAATAGTAGCCAGGGACAAACATTCAGCAGTTCCCTCTTTTCTTGCTTCACTGAAAGTAATATGAAGTAATGAATGCTCCTGATATATATATATATATATATACATATGCTCACTTGTTTTCTTCATGTTATCACTCATTCATTCTGTCTCTGTTCTCCTTATATAGTTGCCTTACTTTATTTGTTTGGCGCATCTCATGGTATTGTTACTGAACTAGTTTTGCGTTCAGACAAACAAACGAACAGATAAACAGATAGACATCTGCAACCCATTTATTATGAAAGAAGTAGAACTGCATACTACTGATTAAGTGAGATGAGTAGTTGTATACCATTTCTATATCAGCCAGTAGTAACTGTTCATCCGGTGATCTAAACACCAGGTGGTTGTTTCGCTGATTTGAGGCCGTACTTATAGCACTAGTAGATAAGATACTGTAGTCTGAATAATTCGCTTTTCAAAGGGAACTGTGATGAAAATTTCACCCATAGAAAAGTGTACATTACAGATTGTCAATTTGATTTATGAAAGATGGAATGCAACAGGGGAAGCTGTTGAAAACTCATAGATTCAATTTAAAATAATGTTTACAATAGCGCCATTATCAGACATCCTCTTGATATGGACCATGAGGTGGAAATTGCAAATTCCTTTATTTTTTATCAGTAGATAAAAAAACTGAACTCTGTTCTAGTTTACCGAATAAATTTCTATAAAACGCCTGAAACCCGGCATATGTGTTCAGAAAGAAGCAGTTCTCAGTCTTTCCTTGCCCATCCCAGTAACTGGATGTCTTCAGTCTCTCTTTCATTTGATTACGTAATTCTTGGCTTTAACCTACACCCTTCGACATAGTGTTATTTTGTTTGTCTCTTATTTGTATGATTTGAGTTCAACTCAGTACATTGCCACTCAATTTATTAGTTACTCATCTTAGGTGCCTCTCCTTATTATTACATAACTCCTTTAGCACTGTTTGCACACATTTACTTTGTCTAAACTTGAACTTCCTGTGTAAAAACTATGTAAGCGTTATTTTCTGGGCATTGTTCACTGAGTTCGGAACTTCCTGTCAACTGACAGGATGTTTAAGCGTTTTTGAACATGATCTTGGTATTAATTTATTCAAGCTGTAAGCAGCTGATAAGAATCCAACAAAATAAATGGTGGTACCATTTTATTCTACAAAAACTATTGTTCTTGTTTCATTAATATTCATCAAGTAGAGTAAATGTATCAAATAACTTGTCAGCTGGAAAGTTAACAGAGGTTGTAGGGATGATGAATTAACCTATAACAGAAATCTATCATTTCTTCAACATGTCTATGAGTATTAAAATATACAGTAAGTATATTTTCAGTTTTGTTCATCTGTGGCGCAGCGGTTAGGACGCTCGCCAACCATGCACATGGTCCGGGGTTCAATCCCCGGCCACGGACGCTCTCTTTTACCTCGCTAAGCCAGAAATAATGCTGATAAAGAGGAAAGGTTGGGCATGAGGCTAGCAACCCCATCCTGTAAAAATAAAACAGTGCCACAGAAAATTCAAGCCACTAGCTTGAGGCCCTATGTTCCACTACGAACGTAAAGGAAAAAATTATTATTATATTTTCAGTTAAATATAGTTGAGAAACATTTGAGAAAATGTCACGGAAAGTCAGTATTCATGATTCTCAGAACAGTCTTATGTAAGCATTTTTGAGTGTGAACACAATCTTTTCAAATGTTTATTAGAAAATTGTTTGTATTTAAAAGCTCTACTTGTCTGTAGATATTAAAAAGACAATCATAATAATGATGTTAAAAATCGACAGTTAACAACAAATTATTACATGGTTGGACTACTGATTTCAAACTTGCTCAGATAAGTCTTTACGTGTCATTAGTTGCATATATTGTGACTATCTTCCAAAATTTTTACAAAAATGTTGTCATCCAATCAGAAATCGCCATGTGATGAATTGATATTTTGTTCTTAGAATTAATATGATCACTTGCAACCAATGTACTATATATATATATATATATATATATATATAATTTATTCTTAAAGTAGCTACATCAATATGCCCTTTGGATTAACACATCGTGAACTGATCCAGTATACTCAAGCGGAACAACCAGATGTTCTTCAACTTGGAGTCATAGATACCGTGATAGAGGTACTGATGGATCATTATGAAGTAAGCATGAACAGTTTAGTCAAAACGAAAGTAAATTGAGGGAAATTTATATAAGATTATACAACATTTTTACTGATGAACTTTGTTATTATATGATGCATTTGTGTGCGTTCATGATTCGTACGGTAGTAGAAACAAACAAGATTGAAAAAGTTTGAATTATTATAAAGTAAATATATCTTGTATATTGGGCAGTGTGGTGGTAAGTCATTCCATATTAGCTTGTTTATTTGATGTATCACACAGTGAAACAGGATTATTTACTGGATGACGTTTTGAACAAAATTTATTGTTCATAATCATATCAGTTATAATCAGACGACATTGTCAGTTTATATACATGTATACCAATGAATATGGCTATAGAGGCAGTCAGAAACGTACTCATTTCTGACCAAGAAATTGAACTTGGGACGAAAGTGCCACTTGAGGATATAATGTTAGGAGGGCAGCTATGCCTGACTTCCACAGTATTGAAATTCCAGGAGAAAAAATACAAACAAACTGAGGGAGTTGCCATGCGGTTACCAATATCCCCGGTGGTAGCAGATATATTCATGGATAGATCAGAAAACTTAGCGATTGAAACATTCAACCCCACCCCAAAAGTATGGTGAAGGTATGTAGGTGACACATTCACTGTACTCAAAACACAAGATATAGATAGATTTTTCGAACACATTAACTCAAAGGTGGAGTCAGTTCAATTCACTTATGAATTGGAAAGTCAGGAGGGTGAGCGTCCAATGCTAGACTGTTGCATAAAGAGGAAAGAAGATGGGAAGTTAAATACTAGTATTTACAGGAAACCCACACAGTTAAACAGATATTTGGACTTCCAATCAGCCCATCCTAAGTCAGTGAAAATAGGATTGGTGAGATGTTTAAATAACAGAGGAGAAAAACTAAGTTCCAAGGAAAATCTAAGACAGGAAGTGAGGTATATAAGAGAAGCTTTGAAACTTAATAGTTACCCTGATAGATTAGTCAGAAAGTATGTAGAGAAATGTAAAAATAAAAATAAAATAAATAATGATAGTAGTGGTGAAAATAATAATAATGTTAGTAATATTGATGATGGCATGCATGTCAAACATGCGCAAGACAACACTGACAATAAGGAATCTAAATTATCACTAGTAATTCCATATAAGGAAGGAACCTCAGAAACCTTATGCAGAATTCTTAACGAGGCAGGAATAAAAGTGGCTGGCATTCAAACTGACAGACTCATTTGGAAACAAGTTTTGTCGGTTAAAGGACCCTATGGAGCCTAATACCCTGCCTGTGATGAATGTCAGGTCAAATACATAGGTCAAAGTAGTAGAACAGGTGCAGTCAGACTAGCAAATCTAGATTAGTTGACCCGAATAAGATAAGAAATCTAGAGAATAGTTCAGCTATAGCACTCACTACATGCAATTACACACATCCATACAATGGGATGGGATAGGATGACAGTTTTAAAATCTAATGTCACAGGGTGGAGGGAGAGATTAATAACCGAAGCTTTGTTTATCGAATCAACTGCGAATACATGTAATAGGAATGACTCAACACCTGTCCTAGATATCTGGAAAATTCTACTACCCCAAAGACGGCAAATAGGAGAGAACAAAGAAAACTTTTAAACTGAAGTTTCAAAGTCGTGTGATTATAATTCATGAAATGATTATGAACAATAAATTTTGTTCGAAACCTTGTCATCCAGTAAATAATACTGTTTCACTGTGTGATACATCTAATAAACAGACTAATATAAACATATCTGAGTTGTAAGAATCAGTTTATCAAAATGAAATATCCTTACATGTCATTCCACATTAATCCCAGTTACTCAATATTGGATGTATGTTATCTGTTCTGTATTCATTGGGACTCCTGACAGGCAAAAGTAATATAATGTGTAGCGATAGTTGAAATTGAGGGTCAGATTTATAAGTGTTTCTTTTTTTCTCCTAAGCAGTGATTCTGCAGTTGTATTTTAGAAAGAATAGAATATCTATTTTTATATCGTTTAGGATGATTGGTGAAAAGTCTGAGATTTCAAAAACAACGTAAACATGGTATCAAAGTAGTATTAGACCGCTTTTATTTGCTCTAGCTCAAGGTTTCAGCTGCATTCATTTTCATTTATTATTTTAAATATTAACCTGGGAAACTGTTTTTATCAATTTTGAATTTATTTTAGTGGTACGCCATACGACTATATCCGTCTTTCCGTTTTCGCTACATTTATCATCGATGGTTCTGATATCAAAAGTCCTTACATGTGAGGATCGTGTGCGTCTATAACTATGAAAGTTTCAAATAAAACCGGTCGTAAACGTTAATTATTTTACACCAGACGATTCGTAAATCTTTTTACATTTCTGAATGTGAAGATTTCTAAACAGGATAGAATTAGATGGAGTCCAAAGTTATGTAATGTTTTGAATTCATGTTAAGAATTGGATATCTCTTGTGACATCCACAGACAAAATTAAAGCCATAAAAAGAAAGCAGTTAATCATCGGCCTGAATTCGAGTTTATCTTCATGAAAACTGTGCTTTCTTTCAGTATTCTCTCAGGAGGGACATGAGTTCCTTCAAGATTGTGAATACACCTTGCTGACGAGTGCCAACAAACACGAAACCTAGGTCCAAGGCTTCCTATCGATCGCCTCCAACCACGCGGGGAAAAATTTTCTTTGCCCTTCTCGTTATCATGGGCATGGATGAATCATCATTATAGTTACAAAATTGTGATTTCCGTTCACATAACTATGAAATTTGTTTTTAAAAATCAATATGTTTATTGAGTCTGACATTAAATTACACAATATCTAAAGTGCATTTATGAGGTGAAAGACAGAAGTATGAAAATGTATTAAGAGTAAATTACACTCACCTTCTGAAATCCTTTAATATGTCAGATGGTTGAAGACAGTCGACAAGACCCTCATCCACTCAGTACTGCTATCAAAGGCTAGTCAAATTCAGTCAGTACCAACCCCAGGGACCAGACCTATAACACTGTTTACTTCCTATTGACCAATAATTGCATCTTGTATAGACCTAAGGGAGCTAAACTGTAAACTCCACAGCTCGGTGGTAACGTCTGGAACTGTGGCACTGGGTGAAGTGTTCAAATCTCAAAGGAGAAACCGGTTAATTTAATTTTGCAGTTACGCTTTGCTGACTAGCATACAAAAGATACAGGACTTTCTTTCAATTTTCCTTAGCCATCAAACACCACTTCAAAGTACAAAATGATGGGGAAACACCTAGCTTGGTAATCGCACTGCCAACCTGGTCGGTCGATTTCGGTCAGTGCTAATATCAAGAACTAGACATATGGCACTGGCTTTACTCTATTTGCCCATTCATGTTTACTTTAATGTGTTTAGAACCAATAATAGTTTTATAAATATTTGTAATGTTTCATAAGCTTTATAAACTGTTTTGTTTTTTAACAAAAACACATTTCAGAAATGTGAAGAGGAAAGAATTCTAAATTTGGCTGAAGTTGAACGTAAACGTATGAAAAATTTGGAGGCTGAGACAGAATTAAAACACATGAACTTATGCATAAAGCGTCCAGCTAAGTCACACTGTGTGAAACCACAAACAAAGATTCGAAAACCAAGTGTACATTGGATGAATACCCTAAAACCTGGGGTAAATCCTGCACCAAGGTCAGATAAAGTAAGTATAATTGTTATTACTACCGTAGCGAATCAGGTCAATAATTACTAACCATCAAGAATTCATTCCAGTGCAATTACTTGTATAGGGTATTAGCTTTTTCCTCACAATCTCAGTTCGTTGTGCGGAATTTTCCCTCTATAAGTTACCACATTTTGTGCTGATGCGTTTAAGCGACGACAAGAAACTTAGCTGTCGAAATACATTCAGCAGAATAAAAAGATAAATTCCCAGAGCAGTACGTATTCCTTTTAAAAATGAAGGGTCAAGAGAGGCTACTCAGCTTTTCCTTAAACTAATTGTTTTGAAATATATTGGTGAGTTATATTCAGTGGAACTACAGAGAGGATATGAATGAAAAAGTGCTGGAATTACCAATAAGTTAGTCTTGGCTTTGATACTCATATTTTTACTGCTGCGCATTTTACAAAACCAATCAACTCAACTCTCACTTAAACATCAAATACGCTTTTGATGTCTTGAAGTTTAAATGCTTATATCTTCTTTTGCTTCATATATAACTTTCACTTGTCTGACAATACTATGTTGGAAAATTAACTTAAGTAAACACTGTAACTACCGAAACCGACTGGTTGTGGTCTATCTAAATGCAGGAAACCGACTTCTGCACTCTATTGCATAACTGATAAAACTTCCGCTAGAGACGCACAGTCACAAGACACTTCAAAGACATCAAAAAGGCGATTATTCGTGATTGGATCGATGTGGTTCTGTTCAAACAACAGTAATATCAAAAACTCACAAGTATCTTAACAATGCCTTTAAGCAGCTAGGCAAACAGGAGAATATTTGAAGTACAAAATAACCACTGTGGAACAAAATTGGTTAACCAAAAGTCAACCCTAAGAAGTACCTTAGAATCCACAAGAATCACACAACAACACTCCCCTCAGACAGTCCAGGGTTGATTCACTCAAACCAAATTATATCGTAAGACAACATATTATCAATATATATACAACACAATCGTAAGAAGAAGCATTAAAATTAGAGATGAAACAGAGGAAAAGACGAATAATAAGGAACAAGTCAACATGTGATATGTAAATGTCAGGACAGTGACATACAGTCTAGTAGAAAAACGGACAATAATCACAAAGTTAGTTTAAACGTTAATATACGTATCACTATTGTAACTGGACCTTTCAAGAGGTATTTTCTAAACAATTATTTCGTTAAAAAATACCACTCGCTTGCTATAGTAGGAGAGGAAATTAAATGCAGTTCACATAAGTTAAAAATCATGTGATTTTTGTACTTATTGACTATTCTAATACTGTTCCTTTAGATTATTGAAAAAAACCCAGTCAGTATCAAATCATCTGACTGTCAATACACTTAAACAAAAACCATGGTTACAATAGAGTACGCTGGACTTTTATTAGTTCATGAGACCAATAAACTACACTAAACAGTTGCCTATTTTTCCAGAAAAGAAGAAGAAGTAATAGTGAGGTTACTTCTTTCTTTATAACGTCATGCAATTCAGCTAATTTTTTATCAAACGCTGTTATGAGCTTATTATCATAAGCAAGATCATAGTGACCTTGATTGGCCAATTAGAATCCAGATGAAATTTGATACTCATAATCGTTAAAAAATGGATTAGAAAAATCATTGTAATCATGATATTGTGCCGGATAATTATCTCTAATGCATTGTAAGCATATCTCAGAGCATATCCAAAGAATAACTAGAATATTCTACTTACCCTCACCAAATTAATATGGGCAGGTATCATTTGGTTTAGAATGACCTTTATTAGCATTCCCAAAGTCTGATTCTTCCTTGAAAGTGAGCACTTGGTAGACCCTGACTTTGACTATGCTGGTTTAACTTCACAGGTTAATTTAGCCAACTCATGATTACTGCCCATCCTCATAAAAATGTGTCTTCAAGATTGAGAATGTTCATGTTTCCCTAGACTGAAAAATCTCTGCAGAAGTCTCTTAAAATGTGTGGAATATATCTTAGAATTTCTTTTGACTACTTATACTTATGTATTCAGAAGGAACAGTTCCAACTATATTACTCGATATGGTCTAATGTAAACTAACTTTCTGACTATCATGCCCATCATTTATTTTTTCTTCTAGCCTACTCATTTCTTCATTATGGATAAAGTTTTATTTTGATAAAATTACACAGTGTTATAAAGTGATATATAGCGATGACCACGTTTCGAGCACAAATTATTCCCACTCATAAGCACATCAAGGCACTCACTCACACAACTTTCTTGCTTCATTTATGTATATGAGTGAAATCTGATCAGATATTTGAATAAAATCAATATACGATATAGTACGTTCAGAAATAATATTAGTGTTATGACTAAAATAAAATAAGATGGGAAGATCAGAAAAGTTAAAAAGCAAAATAAAAATAATTGTGAAACTAATCATGGTAACCCAAATACGAAGGAATATAAAGCATTTACAGTTTTACCGCATAAGGAGGGGACGTCTGAGACCCTACGTAGGATTCTTAATGAAGCAGGAATTAGGGTGGGACAAGCTCTGTAGGTTAAAGGGTCCTGTTGACCAAATTAGGCAGAATAATATAATTTACAAAATATCCTGCAATGACCGTGAGATTAATTACATAGGTCGAACCAGTAGGTCGGGTGTAGTTAGGTTGTTGGAACAGAAGAATTTAGCTAAGGTAAGAATGGTTGACCTCGAGAAGATAAGTAATTTAGAAAGAAGCTCAGCAATTGCACCTCATGCATTAACACACAACCACGTAATAGGCTGGGAGATGGTTAAAATTCTAAAAAGGAATATAGATAGGTGGAGAGAGATTGATTACTGAATCCTGGTACAACTAAGTCAATGTATGCAGAAATTGTTTACTACCTTCCATTTTTGTGTTACCACTTTATTTTAGAAACAAGATGGTGAATACTTAGCAGAACAAAGAGGAAACATCCAAAATCATCCATTGAAGACCGAAAGTGATCAAAACAGCATTTCTAATAAGTCAGATCATTCACAAAAACAACTTAAATCAGATGAAGATGCAAATTTACACTTGCCATTTGGTATGGTCAGATATCCAACACCTAGAACAAGGAAATTTCTAGAAGCGCAGGCAAGTCATTTTTTACATGGAGAATGACAGCGTTTCATAGTGCTATATAATTTATCAGATGCTGGTTTGCAGGCATTTGACTGGTTACAGGTTTGATCACAAGGTGACATCGTTTAGAGATTCACTGGAAAACGTAAAGCGGTAGTGGACAGCTGTTTTGTTTTAGTCTGGGACTCTTCACATTACTCACCCGCCAGTGCTCGAACCCAGGGCATTCCGGTCACATGACAAGCTCGTATATCATTCAGACTCTGGGACCCGATCCAATGAACCATGAATTCCAACTTCTGCCACTTAAAAATATGTTTACTGTAACCACCAAACAATATCACAGGGGAGTGACTGTTCTCTCACCCCAATTTGTGGACCCCGTTGTTTATGGCTTTTCACCAGAACTCCCAGTCTAGGGACTAAGGGCCGCCAAAACGGATTTAGCCCAAATTATTACCAATCAAATTCCTGCAAACTGAAACTCGATAATTATTGTGTGGTCACTAGCAACTGGCGTTCTTCAAGAAGATACCTAAAGTTTTAGTGAGAAGACGTAAACAGCCAAGTTCACCAAGTCAGGCTAGAGAACAGTCACTCGTCTATGAGAGTGACTGGCGGTCACCCAATGTATAAATATATATATATATATTATTCAGAGTAACGCTCTTTATACAGGAACGAAAGTAACTTAAGCCTGTTTAAGTACCCAACGAAATTAACCAGCAATTCAGTAATGATGAGCTGAGATCATGATCAGGTACGAAGTCACATGACTACATTAGGTAACCAAGTTGATAACCTCGAAGTGACCAACAGACCTTGAACCAGGGAAATATAGTTTGGGTAAACCAACTAACAGAAAAGAGAAAAAATAAAACACTGAGCTGATCACCTCAAGGGACTCTTCAACTGACCACTGTCTCTAAATCATTCGAAAATACCTCCACCAAAAACCTGGAGCACAGATGCTAGTGAACACAAATCCTCCCGAAAAGTTACTGAAAACCAGTCGCAAAGTGAGTAGACGCATCAGATGGAAGTACAGAAGCACACAAAACCGATGCAGCGATAGCAACTCAGTCATCATGACACCATTCCAGGACGTTTCGAAGGAATGGAAGGTACCTGTGGATTAGAAGAAAGAATACTTTGTCAAACTACCAAAGAGGGACAACTTCGGTCTTCTCAGAAACTGGTTCGGAATCACTTTTACTGTTCACAACAAGTAAAATATTTAGTCGCTTCAACCTGAAGACACTTGAAGATGCTCTGGATGCAAAATTCCTCCCTGAACAAGGTGGGTTTTAGCGAAAGCACATTATGTGCACATCAGCTTGCAGCATCACGCATGATCATCGAACACAGCATAGAATGGTAGTCAAATATCCATCTCAATTTCATCAAATTCGAAAAGGCCCACGACTGCGTTTACTACGAGGTAATTAGTGAAATCGCTTCAAAAGTATGGAGTGCAGTGTCCCAAGCCATTTCCAACCTCACTGAACCGGTAGCTGTATGATGAAGATAATGATTTTGTGTGTATAATGGCTCACAACGGAAAGCTCAGTGAAGTCAGTGAAGTGAAGATGGGAGTGAGTAAGACCACAAACAGGCGTCCTGTATGCTATCACCGATTATATTCATGTTTCTGGTGGACGCGATTATGCGTCACACTGTGCATGGAAGTAAAAGGAAAGGCATACGCGGGACCAACAAATATATCCTAGGAGATCTAAACTTCGTGTTCATCTGATGTCTAATGTCACACATACTCTAAGATCCACAGGCGAAATCCAGTACATTCGGATAGAGGATGGCAGCGAAGACACGAATTCAAGTAAGCACAGAGAAGATAGACGTGATGAAGATCCCCACCGGACAACAACAAAATCAACAGGCATCATACACTATGAATAAGACATCCAGAACCGTTTCAACTACAGGTCGTACACCCCCATAAGGATGTCGAGGCCAACTAGAATCGGAAAGGTAAGACAAACCTTCTGAAATCATTGTGGAAACCTGCTGAACTCAGCATAAAAAACATGATTCTTATTTTCAACACTGATGTTAAGTGATTGAGTCACTGCTTCTGTGTGATTCAAAGGCTCGTCGGTCACGTCTTTGGATGCATATCCACTGGGTTTATACAAACTCTCATCAACAACTGCTCTCACTGACTGGATACTGAAAACCAGATTGTCAGTCGACCAGAAAGAATTGACAATGAGGGACTCTGTCATTCAACAAACCAACGAACCATAACCCATTGCCCAACAGATATGAAGAAGGAAATGTAGATAAATCGGTGACACACACAGTGAGAAGACCATTGGATGACTTCGCCAACTGAGTTATCGCTCCAGTGGAACCTGAATGATGAGTGATGAGTTGAGCATGGGTGTGAGGGTGACATGCAGGAGATCATGTTAGGAGAAATGAAAGTTTATGGGCAATCGTGGAGTCACACAAAGTGGAGTACAGAGAACAGGATGAAACGGAGATGGATTTTTGAACGTCTTTGTCCCACTGGTAACATAATGGACTGATAATAATAACAATAATTGTTAGTACCGCATACAGTGTACATCCCAGTTTATAGTACTGCCTCTGATTTAAATTAACCGAAACCTTATCTTTGCATGTGGATTATCATATGACGATTTCATCAATTCAAGTTGTTTGATAAGACGTCTAATTAAAATAATACACAATATCAATATTATTTGTTCGAATATATTTTTGCGTAAAGTTAGCCCGCTTATATCTGTTTTCTTCTGAATTATGTAGACTAATGAATTACTGTATGGTCTTGCCAATCAAATCGTTTTCTTATCATCCGAACATGGTGAGCATAAGTAGAAGCGCACTGAATAATTTTATATCATGGCTATTACATGAAGTGAGCCTCTATCCTACAAAAAGTTTGAAAAAACTTTTTAATTAAGAAAAGTACTTCAACAACAGTTATGATGACAGCAGATGTGACTCCTAAAGTTTTCATATTATATATTATTTTTCGAATACTGACTATCATTTATGGTTTTTCTGGTCAATAATAACTGCATGCCGCATACTGAAAGCGCCACAATATAATAATAATTTCCTATAAATGTGAAATTTTCGGACGCTTTTGAGATCCATTTATTATCATCTAGTTAACAGTGTGTTATTATCAGATTACAGGATTTGTGGGGAATTCGGATTAATTCCAGTTGCTAGATATTCGACACGAACCAACATTAGCTAGAGAGATCACTGAAAACCAAGTAACACTGGACAACCGCTTGGTCTTATTTTGCAACTGTTCATTGGTGCACACTCATGACCCCACCAGGGACGGAACCAGTCACCTTCAGGCGATGAGATCAAGCTTGTTGACCATCCAGTCACTGGTTGGATTTCATGAAGTTGCAGTGGGAAATGGCGTTCACTATGTTAAGGTGAAGTGGACGCCCAACGGAGACATTGGTGATGCAGCGTTGTACAGCGAGTTGGTAAATTTTGGACTCAGGAGTCATTGAATTCCAGCCAAATTGGCTTAGTGGTCGGTGAACTTATTCTACTGGCTATGGTGGAGTAGATTTGTAGTTTTGGGGATGACTTTGATGTATTTGTGTTCTCTGAGCTGGATAGTTTGTTTGTGAAACTTTCATTGCCCTACTAAGCAACATTTTCAGCGCATACTTCAATTTGAAGTTAGCTTTTAAATTTCCGCGAGTTTATTAGTCTTCCCTCCTGGTGACCTTGAATGTGATTGCTTGTTTTTGTGTGTTTTCAAACCCCCTAGGCCACTTGTATTGGCACTGATTGTTTCCTTGACATGAACTTTGATCCTTTGTGTGTAAATTTTGTCTATCTTGATTTGTCTATTAACTGAAGATTTACTGGAATACTAGGCTTACAAAAATTCCCTAGTATTCTTGGTGTTTTCTCTTCCTAATATTTGAACGCTGTCCCAGTCGAACTTAACTTCTCATCTTGAATGTCTATGGTTCTATTCTTAGTGAGGTCATAGGTGTGCACTGATGGGAAGTTGCAAATAGGACGAAGCAGCTGTCTAGTGTTACTTGGTTTTCAATGATCCCTGTTAATGATGTTGGTTCGTGACGAATATCTAACAGTTTAAACAAGTTTATTTTATTCTCAATTAATCTATGCTGTGAAGTTGGAGGTAGAAGAAATTAATAATGCAAAAAATAAATGGGCAGACTTAAATGTAGTTAGTGTGATTGTTGAGAACATGAAGTATTTTTCTTTGCTATACTTTCCCAGTGGAACTTAGGGATTCAAGCTACAGCTTTAAAGTTTCGGCAGCAGTGATATTCAATTTTAGAGGATGGGGCTGCCAGCCTCATATCCAACCTTCCCTCTTTAACAGTCTTATTATTGGCTTAGCCAGGTAAAGAAGTTCATCGTCCAGGGATCGAACCCCGAACCACCTGCGTGGCTGGTTATCAGTCTACCTCTCTACAACCAACGCAGTGAAATTTTCTCTGGAAATAATCTACGGTATCCTTAATATGACAAAAATGTACTTTGTATCTAATCCTCAGTTGTCAAAATCAATACAACATACACTACATTTCCAGACTAACATTGCATGAAATTATTGCTCTTACTATGTTCTTTATTAGTATTATAACAAACAGTTGTAAATATTGTTCACTAAGAATATGAATATAAAATTAAAACTAAAGCGATAATATTAACAATAATACAATCATGAAAGAAAGGACAAAAGCATCGTTTACTTAGTGATTCACAGTTAGTTCGTAGTGTCATGCCTTACACTCTTCTCATCACATAAAATGTGTGCAAAATAAGATAACCTAGAGCTTTTATGCTGATTCATTCGAGCACAAATTCTTCTATAGTTGCTTCCAGTCCTACCTGGAGATATGAAAAAGGGAGAGTTGTGTATAGAGAGGATACTCAAGATCCGACAAAATAATATTCACCAGTTTCTTGCATGAGTCTATGTGTCCATCAACAAGATTATTACAAAGTTGGTAGGTTTAGCCAAACCCCAATCGTCCAAAAGACAGCTTTTACGCCCTTGGCAATGTCACAAAGTCCTTCTTAAGTAGCCCAGAACAGGAAAAGGCGAAGTAATGGAGAAGAAGAGGTGGAATACAAGAATTAACGAACTGTAAAATTAGAGACTGAATGAAACCAGATTGACTAACTTCCTTTCATAGAACGTTAGAAGAAATATCTTTCTAAAAAATAACATGACGTGGGAAGATCAAAAGAGATCAGTGGAAGGGAATGCACAATCCAAAGTGTTTATCATTCGACTTAGTTTCAACTTCAGCGGCATGTAAGTCGTGCTGTGTCAGAAAGTGAAATAACCACATAACATTCAGTGGGATTTAGCTTACGACCACTTGATAGAGACCAATGACTAATTTCTAATAAAAAGTTATTTATTTTGGAACAGTCTGATTGAGAATCAACCATCATGGAAACAGTCAGATCATCAGCATACTTGAAAAAAATTGGCTTCATCAGAATGGGACAATTCATGCAAGAAGGAAGAAAACATAAAGCAGGAAGAAGAGCACCTTGAGTGACGCCGGCTGGAGTGAGTAAAGCAGTGGAAGACTTCTCACTATATCCAGTGTGTTGCTTCCTATCAGAAAAGTAAGAATGCAACCTTTCTTTAAACCCTGAGTTATGCTAGTGTCTCAGCAAAGTTTGTAACAAAAGCGGCCGAGGTACAGAGTCAAAGGCAGATGTTTGATCAGTGAAGGAGCATCGAACATATATATTTGGCACCTCTGTCTAAATTAGAGACAATATTATGATGTAAGACAACAGTGGTGTCTGAAGTACACCTACCATGTTGAGAAGCAAAATGATTAGGGTAATTAAAAGCTTTCAATGGAAGTTCAGTATTAAATAAAAGCAGTTCTTCCACTTTTTCAAAAAATGCTCAGGTAATCGAGATAAGTTTAAACCTATCACTTGGCTCGCCTGATTTAGGCACTAGAAAAGCTTTAATAACCTCCCAAAAAGCAGGCACAACATTGGTGGGAAATGATTTATTTATAATATATTATTTTATTAAGGCATTATTCCGTTAATAAAAAGTTAACTGAGTTTTTAAGTAATGAAGGCAACACTGAACTAATACTCATTGGATGGTTTGAATTATATTTGAAAGTTTTCAAATTCCTTAAAAGACGTGTCAAACGAAAAAGCTAATATAAATAAATATTAGTGTGAAGGCTGACAAAGCTTTCCGTTGTTCAGTATTCAGTCTTAAACTAAATCTATAATCAAATATAGAAATTTGATAAGGTTAAAATTGCTCTTGAGTGAGAATAAAGTTATTTGAGTGTCAATTTAACAGACAAGCTAACACAGATGCTGAAGAAGATGAGGAACGAATCGATTGTCAGCTCTGAATTATTCGAGCAAATACGACCCTCCGGTTCCGTGGTTCCCCGTTTATATGGTCTGCCGAAAGTGCACAAAGAGAATATGCCACTACGTCCAATCTTGGACATGACAAATTCCCCATATCATGTTACTGCCAAATGGCTGGTAGAAATCCTCCTACCTATCAGAAATAACCTCTGCAAGCATAGTGTTTCAGATTCGTTTGAATTCGTCGATTCAGTAAGTGATGCTAATATATTCGAGATGAAAATGATATCTACTGATGTTACTTCGCTTTTCACCAACGTTCCCCTCACTGAAACTATCTGCTTTATATGCAAATTCATTGATGATAATAATGTAGACATATGTGTTCCGATCAACTACTTAAAGGAACTAGTATTAAGGTGCACTCTAAACGTCCAGTTCAAGTTCAAAAACACGATTTATAGACAAAGAGATGGAGTGGCGATGGGGTCACCATCGGATCCTTTACTTGTAGACTGCTTCTTGGCTAGTTTGGAGAATAGCATTTTACGGCCTACTATCAACAGTCTCCATCCGTACCAAAGATACATGAATGATACTTTCGTCATATGTGACAATAATACCGACATCGAATTGATAACTAAGGAGTTCAACAGCTGCCATCATGCCACCAAGTTCATGTCGGAATCAGAGATTAACTCGGAATTCCATTTTCTGGATGTTTTACTAAGGAGAAGATTTGATGGTTCTCTCCAAAGATCGATCGACAGGAAACCAACATGGAATGGTCAGTACACAAATTTCCATAGCTGGGTCCCTTTAAGAAGAAAGAGAAATCTGATCCATCCCTTATCCTCAAGAATAAGGAGGATATATTCAAGTGATACAATCGACGGAGAACTGGGGTGACTCAGACAAGTTCTCATAGAGAATGGATATCCTCCAAGATTTATCGAGAAAAACATGAAGTTAAGGGAAAGAATCCAGACGGTGCGGAAGAAACTGCTGTTTATGAGTGTTGAATTTAAAGGTGATACCGCAGCTGAGATCCTGAAGAATCGCCTATGCAGATCCCTGAGCTGAGCTGCGTATTAATTTCTACAGCCGACAAATGATCAACGGATGTGTGAGGGATAAAATGCCGCTTTGGGCCACCTCAATGTGTGTTTATAAATTTTACCTGCTCGTGTGGAGCTAGTTATATTGGCCGCACAAAGCGCACGCTTTCCAAACGCATCTCTGAACATTATCCGGCATGGATGGGAAAAGGACAATGCAAGACAATTACTAGCTCAATTCTCGAGCATTTGGTGAACTCAGGCCACGCAGTTCCACCAGAGTCGTCTTTCAAGATCATCTACAAAGTGAGGTCAAATGGTGCAAAGGGCGTCAGGTTTCGGCTTTTGTGTGTTGCGGAGGTGCTGGTGATTCGTCAATACAACTCCGAACTGTGTATACATTTCACCTTGGTTTTAACCTCTTCACTAGTCGCTTCTATAAAAAATTTTGATTTTTTCTTTTCTGTTTTTAAATTTCCATGTTTTACTTTTAGTTTGCTCTTGCTTTAATAATTAATTCACTATTATCACTCTGATATGTTCCTTTTGTAAATTTTCACACCCTCTTCACACTTGTTAAATTGACACTCAAATACCTTGATTCTCACTCAAGAGCAATTTTAACCTTATCAGATTATCCTTGTCATTTTAAAAATATATTCAAGATAAATCTGAAAATT